ATCAAATCATAGGTAGTTGGCTTTCTAAAATTAATGTGAAATTGCTTCATGGATTGGCTGGGAGACCTAATAACTTAGAGTGTCCTCATATGAGGACAAATGGGTGAGTTTTAATCTTGCCACTTTGAAATTAGGGTAAAATTAGTTTTTTTTGTTAAAGTGAAAATTATTTAATATTGATAGAAAAATTTTCCAAAAATTTTATTAACTCTAGGGAAAAGCTTAATTAAAAGAGCAAAACCCTGAGATGTCTGGCCTCATGTACATTTCAATCCCTATGCTACTGGTGGTGTTTCTTTGTCCCAGTGTTCTCCTTAAAGACACTGCATGAAAAGAAAAAAAAAAGACACTGCATGGCAGAATTTGTGATTTTTGTGCATTCTTGTCCTTGTTCCTTTTTTTTTTTCATTTAAGGGGGAGATATTTACTCTGATTATGAAATTAATGCACAGTCACTGTAAAAGACTTGAAAAATATAAAAATGTAATGAAGAAAATAAATGTGGTTCTGTGACTAAAAGATAACCTTAATAACATTTCTTCCCAGTAATTTTCTTTTCTTTTAATTATGTTTAATTATGTAATTAATGCATAAATATACCTTCTTGAAAAGGAACCAAAGCCATTCCCCTCCCCAGCTCCAATACTACTGTCAGTCTCAGAGATAAGGATTGTTATATACCTGATGTGTGTTCCTTCAAACCTTTTTTTTCTTCTCTAAATATATTTGCAGAAAAGACAGTGCTTTCCCTCCTTGTCTGTTTTATGAAAAAAAAAAGTGTCAAACTATGGATCTATACTTTCTTACTTTTTTTCCAGTGGTGTATCTTGGAGATATACTTATGCCCAAACATACAGGGCAGTTGCCTTCTGCTTATTGCCTAGTATTCATAGTATGGGAGTGCCTTTTTCAACAATTGCCTTGTTGATGGGAATTTGTATGTTTCACCCCTCCTCTCTTTTTTGTTATTATGGATAATGGTGTGATAAGTATCCTAAGACCTACTGTTATGCACATATATGACTGTTTTTCAAGGGGAGATAATTGAGAGGTAGAACTGCTGGGTCATAGTATTTACATTTGAATTTTAATAGATATACTGTGATTGAGAAGGTATCCAGAAGGCTTAACCAGCTTTCTTTGCATCTGAGATGAAGTGATACAGAAAGGTTGAAAATTAAAAGCTGGAACAGAGGTATATATAGTCAGATACAAACAAAAAGAAATTCGGGATCATGATCTCAGTATCAGAAAGGGCTGAATTATGAGCAGAAATGGTTAAGTGAGATAGATAATGGCACATTATGGTGCTACGTGATATAATTTACAACACCTATATGCAATTTCTGAATTTTGTAGCAAGTCAAACAGTACTAGTTTCCATTAAGCAAGAAAACAAGTGCTACAAGGTGACAGAGAATTACAGTAGCAATAAGAGCCTCTAACTCACTTTTCTCGAGCCATGATCAAGTAAAAGGATAGAAATAGATAAGACTAGAAATGCCTGATTAAAAATGATGAGCAAAGTAGAATGAATTAATACATATTGACCTTGAAGCTCCAAAGATAGAGAAAAAAATATAAAAATGTAATGAAGAAAATAAATGTGGTTCTGTGACTAAAAGATAACCTTAATAACATTTCTTCCCAGTAATTTTCTTTTCTTTTAATTATGTTTAATTATGTAATTAATGCATAAATATACCTTCTTGAAAAGGAACCAAAGCCATTCCCCTCCCCAGCTCCAATACTACTGTCAGTCTCAGAGATAAGGATTGTTATATACCTGATGTGTGTTCCTTCAAACCTTTTTTTTCTTCTCTAAATATATTTGCAGAAAAGACAGTGCTTTCCCTCCTTGTCTGTTTTATGAAAAAAAAAAGTGTCAAACTATGGATCTATACTTTCTTACTTTTTTTCCAGTGGTGTATCTTGGAGATATACTTATGCCCAAACATACAGGGCAGTTGCCTTCTGCTTATTGCCTAGTATTCATAGTATGGGAGTGCCTTTTTCAACAATTGCCTTGTTGATGGGAATTTGTATGTTTCACCCCTCCTCTCTTTTTTGTTATTACGGATAATGGTGTGATAAGCATCCTAAGACCTACTGTTATGCACATATATGACTGTTTTTCAAGGGGAGATAATTGAGAGGTAGAACTGCTGGGTCATAGTATTTACATTTGAATTTTAATAGATATACTGTGATTGAGAAGGTATCCAGAAGGCTTAACCAGCTTTCTTTGCATCTGAGATGAAGTGATACAGAAAGGTTGAAAATTAAAAGCTGGAACAGAGCTATATATAGTCAGATACAAACAAAAAGAAATTTGGGATCATGATCTCAGTATCAGAAAGGGCTGAATTATGAGCAGAAATGGTTAAGTGAGATAGATAATGGCACATTATGGTGCTACGTGGTATAATTTACAACAACTATATGCAATTTTTGAATCTTTGTAGCAAGTCAAACAGTACTAGTTTCCATTAAGCAAGAAAACAAGTGCTACAAGGTGACAGAGAATTACAGTAGCAATAAGAGCCTCTAACTCACTTTTCTCGAGCCATGATCAAGTAAAAGGATAGAAATAGATAAGACTAGAAATGCCTGATTAAAAATGATGAGCAAAGTAGAATGAATTAATACATATTGACCTTGAAGCTCCAAAGATAGAGACGATGCCTTCTTTTTATTTTTTGTAGTACTTGAAAAAATTTTATCAAAGTGTAGTTGATTTACAGTGTTAGTTTCTGCTGTGTAGCAAAGTGAATCAGTTAAACATATACATGTATCAACTCTTTTCAGAGTCTTTGCTCATATAGGTCATTATAGAGTATTGAGTAGGCCTCCCTGTGTGATACAGTAGGTTGTTATTTATTTCATATATATAGTAGTATGTATATGTCAATTCCAACCTCCTAATTTATCCCCCCACACCTAACCCCCTGGTAACCATAAGCTTGTTTTCTCCATCTGTAACTATGAGAATATACCTTCTTTTTATTTTATTTATCTATTTATTTATCTATTTATTTATTTATCTATGGCCCTGTCCCATAACCTGTGGGATCTTAGTTCCCCAATGAGAGATTGAACTCGTGCGTCCTGCATTGGAAAGTGGAGTGTTAACCGTTGGACCACCAGGGAAATCCTGTATCTTCTTTTTAACTACCCACTGGATGTTCATAAAACTAAACATCGCAAAAACCTTGATGAATTCCCTGAAGTAGAAATAATAGAGACCAGGAAGATGGTGAAAATGTGTCATGGCTGGTCTAAGAAGGGCAGTCTTCCAGTTTGAATGGACCCAGTTCTGAATGGAGAGTGGTCCATTCCACTGGTGTACCTGTGGATGTCAGCCTAGAATGAAGATGGGTTGTCTGAGCATAGTGTGATAAAACAGACATCATAACAAATTCTGAGAACAGAAAACCACAAACACAATGAAGCGCTTAAAACAACTTAGGTCAAAGGAGAAACTCAGTGCACAGCAAAGGAAACTATAAGCAAGGTGAAAAGACAACCCTCAGAATGGGAGAAAATAATAGCAAATGAAACAACTGACAAAAGATTAATTTCCAGAATATACAAGCAGCTCATACAACTCTTTACCAGAGAAACAAACTACCCAATCAAAAAGTGGGGAAAAGACCTAAATAGACATTTCTCCAAAGAGGACATACAGAGGGCTAACAAACACATGAAAAGATGCTCAACATCACTCATTATTCAGTTCAGTCCAGTTGCTCAGTGGTGTCCAACTCTTTGCGACCCCATGAATCGCAGCACACCAGGCCTCCCTGTCCATGGGATTTTCCAGGCAAGAATCTTGGAGTGGGTTGCCATTTNTGAAAAAGACCTATGTATCCCACTGTTCATTGCAGCGCTATTCACAATGGCTAGAACATGGAAGCAACCTAGATGCCCATCGACAGATGAATGAATGAAGAAGTTTGGTACATATACACAATGGAATATTTCCCAGCCATAAAAAAGAACACATTTGAGTCCGTTCTGATGAGGTGGATGAATCTAGAACCTATTATACAGAGTGAAGTGAGTCAGAAAGAGAAAGATAAATATCCTCTTCTAATGCACATATACGGAATCTAGAAAAATGGTTCTGAAGAATTTATTTACGGGGCAGCAATGGAGAAACAGACATAGAGAATAGACTTATGGACATGGGGAGAGGGGAGGAGAGGGTGAGATGTATGGAAAGAGTAACATGGAAACTTACATTACCATGTGCAAAATAGATAGCCCACGGGAATTTGCTGTATAGCTCAGGAAACCCAAACAGGGGCTCTGTATCAGCCTAGAGGGTTGGGATGGGGAGGGAGATGGGAAGGAGGTTCAAATGGGAGGGGATATATGTATACCTATGGCTGATTCATGTTGCGGTTTGACAGAAAACAACAAAATTCTGCAAAGCAATTGTCCTTCAGTAAAAAATTTAAAAAAAGAGGAGAAACTCAGGCTAAACATAAAGAACGCTACATAAAGGTCTATGGGACAGAGAAGGAAGGGCTAAGAGGAAATGAGTAGGCATAAATAAATTCATGTGTTCTTCTTTGAGTTTTCATATTGTTTTTTCCTTATCCTGTAATCCTCTCATGCTGCTGTGCATTTCTTCTCACTTCAAGCTACCTCTGAGTGTCTTGGAATGATTTCTGTGGAATACTCCCTAGGTAAGCTCAGTGTCTGACCCAGAATAGGCTTTTCGTAAACGTTTGCTGATGAACAGTCTCGAGTCTGCTGGACTTTGAAAGGTGATTTAGACCCAGCAACTGTCTTCTAAGGGTTTCCCAGGTGCCTCGGTGATAAAGAACCCTCCTGCCAACGCATGATCTGCAGGCTTGATCTCTGGGTTGGAATGATCCCCTGGAGGAGGAAATGGCAACCCACTCCAGTATTCTCCTCTGGAAAATCCCAAGGACAAAGGAGCCTGGAAGGTTACAATCCATGGGGTCACAAAAGAGTCAGACACAATTTAGCAACTAAAGGACAACTGTCTTCTAAACTCAGTAATCAAGAGTCTTCCTCCTGGAGGCCCTGCTCCAGTGTTAGAGGTAATAAATCTTAATGTGTAGTTTCTTTTGCCCATGAGCGTGTGAAGATGCTAATGTTTCTGGTGGTACTCTGCATTTCATTGTAATCTCTTCAAATAAAGGTCCACTTCTGAACTGTCTCAGGGGCTCTTACTATTATGGCCAACAGACACAATATTTTTCATGAGAAAGAGATATAAAATTGTAATATGACTATGTAACATCCTAAAAAAATCATGTTAGTCAATGAAAGAAATAATCATCATTGAGAAACTTATTTCCCTAAGGAATTTTAGAAAATGGTGTGCCAGGCATGCTATAGTTCAAACATCTTGTGAGTGACCTAGGTCCTCACATGTCCTGTTTTGGGAACATGGCTGGAGTGGTTGGCGTGGAGAAATTCCATCTGAATACTGAGTGAGGCTGACAGGATGTGGTTCTCTTCATAGATGCAGTTAAACACTTTATGCTTTCACCCCAGGAGTACATACCTACCATCTTCTTGGATGTGTTGTGATTGGTAAACACTGCCTGTTACTAAGTGCACTGAAGGTTTTGTTTGGCATCTTGTGCATTGAAACACACTAGTCATGACAACACTTGTTATGAAATTCAGGGCTTTAAGATGACTTTTGCGTTCGTGAGTATTTCCAAACAGTAGTCTTCAGCAGTTCCGTAGCCAGGCAGAGTCATTAGCAGGTTTTATTGATGTGGCCCCTGAGGACACTAGATATTCCAGGGAAACCCTCCTTTATATGACCTCTTTCATATTCCTTCAAAAATGAATGGCTTTCCTGTATGTCTTTCACAAAGACCACAAGCCCTGGAAACTTCATAGAAGTGGGTGTCTGTCCAAACTCGGGAATAATTCTTGCAGGAGGCAGATGTTATGGCACAAGCAGGACAGGAACAGAACCAGAGGTTACAGATGCAGACCTACAGTCCAAACCCATCAAATCTGTTCTGCAGATGTGTTTATTTGGATCGTATTTTTTTAACATTTAAATTAGTTGCCCAGTTGCAAAATCTGGGACTTTTTTTTTATTACTTCAGAAAGTCTGGATAGGACTTCCCTGGTGGCTCAGTGATAAAGAGTCTGCCTGCCAATGTGGGAGACACGGGTTCGATCCCTGGTCCTGGAAGATCCCACGTGCTGCGAAGCAGCTAGGCCTGTGTGCCACATCTAGTGAGCCTGTGCCCTAGAGCCTGGGAACTGCAACTGCTGCAGCCCCGGTGCCCTAGAACCTTGGTCTGCAACAAGAGAAGCCACTGCAATGAGAAACCTAGGCACTGCAACCAGAGAGTAGCCCCTGCTCGCTATGACAAAGACCCAGCACAGCCAAAAATAAATAAATAAAATTTTTAAAAAGTCTGGATGTAGGACGTGTCTTGAAAAATTAGAATAATCAGGCCATGCTGAGATCCCTGTTTTTGCACTGGCAGCCATCAGTGGAGCTGGGAGCTCTTCCCTTCTGGGTGGAGAAGAACTCCAGGGACCACCACTGTCTCTGGCCTCAGGCATTCCTCTGAGTCAGCTTCATGATCCCAAGACAGGTGATGAGATTGAAAGTAGATGGCAATGTGGGTAATTATGAGGGAGACAGACTTCTACACTTAAATCACATGGTCTCCTTGATAAACACTTTATTCAACAGCCCAGAGATGAGTTGATTATCTTCATAGTCTGGAAACAAAAGAACTATGAAAACTGCCTCAAGGTTAACATCTGGTGGCTCTTTGTCAGTTCTATCTGTTCTGGTCAGAGGTCAAATAGCACTGGAGTAGGGTGGAAGGAAAACTCTGTAAAATGGCAAAGGCCAACTCTTCACACAGCTTATGGGATCTTAGTTCCCCAACTAGGGATTGAACTTGTGCCCCCCTGCAGTTAAAGCACAGACTCTTGACCACCAGGGAAATCCTGGCAAAGGCCGACTCTTAAATGCCAACCCCCGCTACCATCTGGGGGGAGCTATCATTCATTCCTGGGGGACCCTATCATTTGTTCCCAGGCTGCCTCCTCCCTCACTTAGAATTTTGAGAAGGAGAATGAAATAATCTGAACCAAACCCTTCTCTGAGCAGCCTTTCCAACATATTTGGATAACAAAGAATGCTTCTGTACTAATCTTGCTTTGCACAGCTGCACGGAAAAGAGTGTTTAACTCTCTCCTGTATATTTTGTCTTTTGGGGAACCCTATCAGGAAGCTTATGATCATCTCTTGGAAGCCCCGGTCACTCGGGAGCAGTTAAACCACTACCGGAATGTGGCCGAGGCTGCCCGGAGTGAACTTGCAGCAACGCTGGTCCAATTTGAATCTGCTCAGTCTGAGGTGAGAATCTGTGTCTTCATTGCTCACAAACGGGCCTTGTTAGCTTCCCGTGGAGAGAAGCAGAGTTCAGGGACGATTGGAAAGAGGACAAAGGGACGTGGGCAGAGGTGGTTCTCTTTTTCTCTTACTGTGCCCCAAGCCTCTGGCTGGCTCCCTGGCGGCTCGGTGGTAAAGAATCCACCTGCCAGTGCAGGAGAGGTAAGCCTCGGGTTTGATTCCAAGGTCAGGGAGAGTCCCTGGAAAAGGAAACAGCAACCCACTCCAGTACTCTTTCCTGGAGAATCCCGTGGACAGAGGAGCCTGGTGGAGTCCAGGGGGTTGCAGAGCTGGAAGCAACTGAAGCGACTGGAAAAGGAAACAGCAACCCACTCCAGTATTCTTTCCTGGAGAATCCCGTGGACAGAGGAGCCTGGTGGAGTCCATGGGTTGCAGAGTTGGAAGCGACTGAAGCGACTACTAGTAGCTTCTGGTTGGGGAGAATTCCTGAAAGGCTGTGCATTTGCTGGGCTGGGAGGTGAGATGACCTGGGCTGGATTCTGGCTCTCAGGGGAGCTGTCCTTGCTGAGAGCACGTGGGGCACCTGGGGACTTGGGGGGCCACATGGGCTTTGGAGGGCTCTTAGCATCCCTGGGAGGAGCTTTGTTTAAGGTGGATTGCTTGCAATCTGAGGTCTAGGGGTGGAAATCTGCCTCCCTTTTTTGTGGTGGTTCCGCTTGCCTGAGGAAGGTTCTACGAAGGTGACCAAGATCCATCTACCCTCGGGGCTGGATTCAGTCTATTGTGGAGTTTCTGGGAGATTCTTGCTAGACTCACTGTGCTTATAGACTAGTGGCCCCGAGGAATCCTAGGCTTGCCTGTGAGGTAACTGACAGTCTCACTAGACTGTCAGGCTCCCATTGAAAAATGAGTTGATAATGTGTGTGTATGTGTACATGAATAAATGTAGGCATGCATACCCATAGTTCCAAAAAGTATACTTGTAGTAGTGTAGTATAGTGAAAGTCACTCAGTCGTGTCGGACTCTTTGCAACTCCATGGACTGAAGTCCACCAGATGGGAGTGGATATTGGAATGAGTTGCTGTTCCCTTCTCTGGGAGAGCTTCTCAGTCCAGGGATTGAACCCGGATCTCCTGCATTGCAGGCAGATTCTTTACCATCTGAGCCACCAGGAAAGCCCTTCAAAAAATACACATGTTCATAAAGTTTTCTAATGGAGTGAATCTGATATCTTATAAGGCACATACTGTGTTCAGAATTTTAGTGTGAGAGAAAAGTTAATGTGTTTCTTTTGTATAAATCCTATAGTGATTTTCCTTTTCTCCTATATTTTTTCCAGAAATCTGAATATTGTTTTTCTTTATCCCTCTCAATAAATGTCCAGAAGTCTGGGAAAAAAATTCTGTAATATATTGAATAGTCTGTATTGACTTGTGAAAGGGTCGTGGCCATGAAATTACAAATAGCCTACCTGTAGCTTCCTTGTTTCAGCAGCAGCAGCAATAGCAGTAATACAGATTTAGAAAATGAGTTTCCATTGCAAAATATTTTATTCCTTTTTGCAGAATACACCACACCTGTCTCTTGAGTGAGACTCATTCATCACAGGACATTGCTTAATAGTTTTTTGCCTGGAAACAGAACTTCCATAAGACCCAGTGGTCCTACTGCTCAGCATACACACGGAGGAAACCAGAATTTAAAGAGACATATGTACCCCAGTGTTCATTGCAGGACTGTTTACGATGGCTGGGACATGGAAGCAACCTAGATGTTCATCGGCAGACGAATGGATAAGGAAATTGTGGTGCATATACACAGTGGAATATTACTCAACTATAAAAAGAACATATTTGAGTCAGTTCTAATGAGGTGGATGAAACTGGAGCCTGTTATACAGAGTGAAGTGAGTCAGAAAGAGAAACACCAATACAGTATATTAATGCATAAATATGGAATTTAGAAAGACAGTAGCGAACAATCCTATGTGCAAGGCAGCAAAAGAGACACAGATGTAAAGAACAGACTTTTGGACTCTGTGGGAGAGGGCAAGGGTGGGATGATCTGAGAGAATAGCATTGAAACATGTATATTATCATATGTATTTTACATATGACCAGCGCAAGTTTGACGCATGAAGCAGGACACTCAAAGCTGGTGCTCTGGGACAACCCAGAGGGATGGTGTGGGGAGGAAGTTGGGAGGGGAAGTTCAGGATGGGGGGGACACTTGTGCACCCGTGGCTGATTCATGTCGAGGAATGGCAGAAACCATCACAATATTGTAAAGTAATCATCCTCCAATTAAAAAAGAAAAAAAACATTGCTCAATAGTTTTTTTTGAAAAAGAATAAAAGGGCCCACTATTTAAGCCTAATTTCCCATCTGGTAATACAGAAGCAAATATGAAAAAAGAAAGTAAAGTTGGCTTAAGTCATGAATAAAAAACTGAAATTTTAAATTATGATTTGGGTTTTTTTTCAAGGTACTTCAAACTTATATCCTTGAAATCTTTTCCCTCTTTTTACTTCTTTTCCATGTCAGCTTCGAGAACTGCGATCCAAGATGCTTTCTAAAGAAGTTTCCTGTAAAGAATTGAAAGCTGAGATGGAGAGCTACAAAGAAAACAATGCCAGAAAATCGTCTCTCCTCATCTCTCTGAGGGACAGAGTTCAAGAACTAGAGGAAGAATCAGCGGCTCTCTCCACTTCTAAAATTAGAACTGAAATCACAGCTCAGTCTGCAATCAAGGAGAACCAAGAGTTAAAGAAGAAAGTGGTAGAACTGGGCGAAAAATTACAGTAAGGATATTTCAATATATTTCTCAATAGCAGGATATGCCTTTGAAGGTACTGGCATTTTGCATTATTTGGCCCTGAAACTCAACTTGGGAAAAAAAAAAACCACACACACACACACACACACACACATATGTATATAATTTGGAAGATTTCCTCTAAGTAGAGGTTTAACTGGAGGTTGTGGAATAGTACACAGAGGGAGGGGTTTATTCAGAAGCAAGTTATAAAAATACCTCAGAAGCCCAGAACGCCCCAGACCACCCTTAACACTCCTCATTAAGTTTTATTGCTGGTTTATGCAGAGAACTCAGGAAATCTAGGTTTTCTACATGTAGTTCTGCCAAAAGGTGATTATTGAGATAAAATTGGAAGCTAACTGTCTTAAAATATACTTTATAATTCTGTGTATAATAACTTAAATCACTTTACTAATAAAACACTTGGTATTTATTTTACTTATTTCATCTTAAAAAGTTTAAAAACAAAAACCCAGTGCTTCCAGCTCCTGTCCTCTTTCTCTCCTTCCCTTTAGAGCAAAATTCCTTAAACATGTTTGTATGTACTCACTGTGCCAATTTCTCTCCTGTTTCAGATCTACTCCGCTGAAGCCACTCATTAAGGTGACCAGTGACTGCACACTGCAAATTAAATGATCAGTCTTATCTGATCTTCCAGTACATCAGTCAATAGATGGTTTTTTCCCCTAAACCACTTTCTTCTTTTAGCTTCCAGGGCATTGCACATGCCTGCTTTTGATCTTGCCTTCCTAGCTGCTCTGTCATGACCTCTTGCTTTATCCTCATCTCCTTGACTTCCAAGTATCCCCATGGACTATACAGTCCACGGAATTCTCCAGGCCAGAATACTAGAGTGGGTAACCTTTACCTTTTCCAGGGGACCTTCCCAACCCAGGGATCGAACCCAGGTCTCCCGCATTGCAGTTGGATTCTTTACTAGCTGAGCCACAAGGGAAACCCAAGAATACTGGAGTGGGTAGCTTATCCCTTCTCCCAGGGATCTTCCTGATCCAGGAATTGAACCAGGGTCTCCTGCCTTGCAGGCAGATTCTTTACCAACTGAGCTATCAGGTAACTCTCTTCTTGTTTCTATCTAAATCCACTCTCTCAGTGCTCTTATCCAGTCTCATGACTTAAAGTATGACCTAAATGCTCATGACTCCCATGTTTCTTCATAAGACCTGCATATCTTATGACTTACTGGGCATCTTCACGTGGATGTCCAACTGGCATCTCAAACTTAACATGTCCAAATTAATATTTCCACAAATTTGTCCTGTGGTTTTCCTAATCTCATTGAATGATAATTCCATTCCTCTAGTTGATCAGGGCAAAAGTCTTGGATCATCCTTGCTTTCCTTTCCTAGTTGCTCAGTAAATCTCATCATTTATCTCTACCATCAAAATAAATCTTAATTTTTACTACTGTCCATTGCTACTAACCTTGTCTGCATCTCCAATTTTACCCCACTCCCCCTAAATGTTTCTTACTCCTTTTTCTGCTTAATCTTTATCTTCAGCTCTATAATATACTATACATTTTTCATACATTTATTTTTTGATTATTGTCCATCTTCCCAATGACTTTCATGAGTTAGAGAGACTGAATACATACTACCTTTCATATGCTGAAAGTGAGATCTCAGAGATATATTGATGTTGGTCTTTTATTGTTATACATTTTTCTAAATAGAAATATGGCATGATTTTGAGTATATGCAATTACATACTTTGTTAATCTTTGAATTGTGTGAAAGAATTTGCAGTAACATTTGAGTGTTGTTGTGAACACTTAAAATGGTAAAAAGGGAAAGTGGTAATCATGTTTATTATCTAGGGTACTAAAAATGATGACAAATTATTGAAATAATTCTAATTTGCCTTTAAAATATGTCTTTTTTATGTTATCTTAGTCTTTAACATTCAAAGCATTAGAAATAGACCATGCTATTTCAGCAAACCCACATGAGATTTGAAATAAAATATTCACAGCAGGGTATAAATTGACTGATTTTCCTTGATTGGCCCATTTCAATACTCTTTAAAAATTCTAGATGTGCAAAAACTAATTGTGATCTTTGCTGATGACTGAACACCTCTCTTCTCTAGAGGTGGGCGTATCCTCTGCTTCTGATGTAGTTTTTAATTATATTTACCCTTGGCCATGAATGAAGGAATGCTCTAAGTAACCCTTATGGATCATTGTATAGTAACCAAAGCTTGGTCTCTAAACCCACTGTAGCATCACTTTCTTTCTTCCCCAATGAAGCCTCAACAGAGTCATGGATCCGTGTTTGATTTAGAACAACAGTCTCCAACCTTTTTGGCACCAGAAACCAATTTCATGGAAGACAGTTTTTCCATTGATCGGGAGTGGTTTCAGGATGATTCAAAAACATTGCATTTATAGTGCACTTCATTTCTAATCTAATGCTGCCAATGATCTGACAGCAGGTACTGGTCCATAACCCCGAGGTTGGGGACCCCTGATCTAGAGGACCACCTGCCACTTCTGCAGATCCTAAAAGGTCAAGGACAGGAGGCAGATAACCTGTCTCCCTTGCTAAGATGACATGAAGATCTTCCTACGTTTTTGCAAAGTATAGGTGCTCCAGAGTTGCTTCCACTTCTCTCTTTTAACTGGGCTTTTTAGACAATTATGTGCTCTGTGTCTGGGAAACTATGTTGTGTTGAAAATGATGATTGGCTATTTCCCAACAGAGAGCTCAAGTGCTGAACTTTGATGAATGTTATCTTCTTTGGTGTTAAAACTTATTTCTTATTTGACCAACAGAAAATGTTTAAAGGAAAATGAGGAGAATAAGAATCAAGTCTCACAGAATTGCAGGAAACATGAGGAATTTCTGGCTCAACTTCGTGACTGCTTAGATCCAGAGAAGAATGCAAAAGCATCAGATGAAGATTTAATTCTCAAGGTGCTTGTATGAAGACTACAACGACTATCCGTTGGGTGGTCGTTCTGATGTGTGCCATGAAGGAGGAGCTGAGGTTAAGTCTGGGGGTGCAGGGGAACAGGACAGGAGCCAGTACAGCCTTAACCAACTGTGTGACCTGGGAAAACCATACCACCTCTCTGAGCCTCAATTCCAAGATTCTTTCTAGCATTATTTGGGATTCCTTTTTCTCCAGAAGCTCTCTCTGGCTCAGATGGTAAATAATCTGCCTGCAGTGCAGGAGACCCGGATTCAGTCTCTGTGTTGGGAAGATCCCCTGGAGGAGAAAATGGCAACCCACTCCAGTATTCTTGCCTGGAGAATGCCATGGATAGAAGGGCCTGGGGGGCTACAGTCCATGGGGTCACAAAGACCTGACACGACTGAGTGACCAACCCTTACTTAACTACTTAATCTCCAGAAGGGATTGACTTTTTGCTTAAAATATATTTAGATTGTCAAATAAAATTAAAATTATTCATTTAAATGATATGTTTTAGGAAGACTTCTGTTTGTTTTAGGTACAGTCAGAAACACATGCATGCAACTGAAAATCAGAACCAGTTGCGTGTCATTTGGGGGATACTTGTGTGTCAGGTTAAGATGAGCTCTATAGTACTTTTTACTTTTACACTAAAGCCAAAAAATAAACATCCTGCTGTGATGGTAGGTTTCCATGGAGATGGAAATTAATGATATCACTTGGCCTGTAGCGATTCATTAGGGAACCTGATGGTATTTGAATGGACACCATATCTCTGCACCTACCCTTGCTTCTGAATAGCTTTCCATGCAGCCATTCTTCCTTAAAACAATGTTTTATTTATTTATTCTTTAAAATTGAAGTATAGTTGATTTACAGTGTTGTGTTAGTTTCAGGTGTACAATAAAGTGATTCATATACATATAATTCAGTTACATGTATGGGTGTGTGTGTATATATATATATTCTTTTTCAGATTCTTTTCCCTTATAAGTTATTATAAAATATTGAGTATAATTTTCTGTGCTATACAGTAGGTCCTTGTTTTATATACAGTAGTGTGTTTATGTTAATCCCAGACTCTAGGGGTTAAAATCTCTAGGTCCATTCATGCTGCTGCAAATGGCATTATTTCATTCTTTTTTATGGCTGAGTAATATTCCTTATATATATATGTGCCACATCTTCTTTATCCATTCCTCTGTTGATGGACCTTTAGGTTGCTTCCATGTCTTGGCTGTTGTGAATAGTGCTGCCCTGAACACTGGGGATATGGCCATTCTCAAAGGCCTCCCCTCCATGGTTAATAAACATCCCGTTAGTAAACATCCCGTGTGTACCCTGTGAGAGCTGTGAAGTGATTTCATTTTACTTCCGGAAGTAATGAGTTTTGGTTGCTCAGGCCTAGGTCCATCTAATTCCCTCAAGGTGCTAGATTCAGCTTTTTCTCCTCCTCCCTGTTGCTAGCATGTGACCAGGAAGCCTGGCTGTAAAAATCTACTTTGCACTGTAGTTTGGAAGCTTATCTTTAAAGCAAGTGGTGGGAAAAAGAGAAGAAAATTAAAATACTTCTTCCTTAAGACACCCTTTCCCACCTCACAGGTGATCTCCAGGTACTAATCTGTGTTGAAACCATATTAACCTCGCCTTTTTATTTTCTGTTCTTCTAATGCCTTGACATCTGGGGCCTTGCTGACCTTGGGTGCCAGGCTGAGCCAATTCCTAGTAAATGACTCTCTGGGTGCACACCTTTCCTATGCAAACCACCGAACTCAGAGCAGCCCACACCCCACCCCAACCACTTCTTTCTACCAGGTTTTTACACTCTGGGCCACTATCCAACCAATCACCCCAGGACCAGGTGCCAGTTGACTAGAGATGGCTCCCACACTCCAGAACCCACTGGAATTATTCAAACGAGGCAGCCCGAAGCCTGCTTACCCTGCCTCACCTCTTTCGTCCTGGGGAAAACATGTTTTCACCCCGGCTCCCTCTGTCTCCTGCCCAGCCCCGGTGCTCCCTGGGTGGCCCTACATGGCATGGTGTGCCCCCTCCTCTCAGGAACTAGGAGCAGCAAACTCTCTTTCAGCCTCTCCTGATTTGTTGGCCTCACTGTACCTGAATGATAATATAGCCTATATTTTTAAACAGATGCTTGGACCCTAGAGCTTTAGCATCTCAATCACCTGAGCAAGTCCTCACCTTATTTATTCATTTTGGCTGCACTGGGTCTTTGCTGCAGCACATGGGGGCTTCTCCAGTTGTGATGCATGAGCTTAGTTGCCCTAAGGCATGCTCCTCGACAAGGGTTCTAACCCGTGTCCCCTGCTTTGGAAGGTGAATTCTTAACCACTGGATCATCAGGGAGCGCCCACTCCCCATCTTACATAGAAATCAGTGGTCAAGAGTAAAAAGCCTGCTGCCTTCAACACTCACTAGGTGTTCCCTGAGGTTACCCAAACCACTCCAGTTTCAAAACCACTCCTTTATTCTTTTCACCTCATGACTACATGTATACACACACGCTAAGGAAAGATGGTAGAAAAGAAGGGGTTTCTAAGAACTTATTTGACATCCATCCATCCACTTCCCAAACATTGAGTGAGTGATTACTATGTGATAGACACTATTCTGGGTGTTGGGATACAGCTGTGAATGAGACAAGACAGAGTCTGTGCCCGCCTAAGAGCTTCCACTGTTGTGGGTCAAGATGCAGAGGCAATAAACAAATAAGTATACAATATTATCCCACAGAGTAAAAGGTGCAGTGAAGAAGTACAAATCAGGTTCTAGGGAAAGACCATGAAGCAAGTTAGAGGCATGGGATGCTAGTTTAGGTAGACTGGCTAAGGTATGCCCTCTGGGATGGGGACTTTTAAGGGATATTGGAACCACTGTATAGTATGGGGAACTCTGCTCAATGTTATGTGGCAGCCTGGATGGGAAGGGAGTTTAGGGGGAGACTGGATATGTGTGTATGTATATGGCTGAGTCCCTTTGCTGTCCACTGGAAACTAACACAACTTTGTTAATCAGCTATACTCCAATATAAAATAAAAAGGTTTTTTTTTTTTTAATAAAAGGATGTTGGAAAGGAAAACTGTTCAAAAGAGAGGGAACAGCCCTGAGTCAGGAGCAGGGCACCATGTTGGCCAATTGTTGAGGCTAAAGATGCGTTGCTTCCCCAGATTGTCCTAACACACACGCTGACCATGTCTTGTGGAGTTTCAGGTCTTCCTACGGGCATCCTTGAGCTGTCTGCATGGCTGTTTCCCTGGGGCCCAGGAGCCTGGTTGGTTTTATTTTCCCTCCTACATCATACAGATCTTATTAATGTTCCCGGCTAGCCTCTCAAATGCACAACATGAAGAGTGAAAAGCCCAGCTAGTCCCAATGATAACCATTGTTTGAGCATGTTATTCAGGATTTTTTCTATGCTTATATTAATTAGAAGGACTTTCTTTTGAAATAAAGAGAGTACTGCCTTCTTCTCTGTATTTCTCCTCTGTGCCAGGTAATGCCTTATAAGCAGTTGATGCCAGCAGACGTGGGCTGAATTGAACTTCCTTGCTTGCCTGCTGTAACTCTGTAGAAACATCACCATCCCTGGAGTATTTAGCAGCCAGGGGCTTGCTGATGCCTGTTCTGTCTGAAAGCTTTTGGCTGAATGCTCATCATTGTTGCCTTGTAGCTACCTTTTGATTAATTTCAATTTGCCTACCCTGTCTGCCCGTAACAAGAGAGTTTAGAGGCTGCCTTTGAAAATGTTATCTTTTGAGTGGATGGAGGAACAGTGCCTTTACTGTTTTCATGTGATAATGTGATCACGGGGGTTCATAGATCAGAGTTGCTTAGAGAGAGTAGTATGAAATTACTAATTTTTACAGGACAGCTGTAATTGCTTTCTCTTCAGCTTGGAGAGCTGTGCAAGGAAAACGCATTTGTGAAAGGACAAATTGTTGCTCTTGAAGAGACTATAAATGTCCATGAGATGGAGGCAAAAGCTAGCAGAGAGACAATCATGAGGCTGGCTTCAGAAGTAAACAGAGCGCAGAAAAAAGCTGCCTCCTGCATTGAAGAGAAAGGCAAGCTGAGCCAGGTACAGTATGTGGAGCATGTGTGTGCATCTGTGATCATGTTTATGAAGCAGAAACTGAAAATCAGGTGTGGATGAGCACACTAGTGTCCCCGATCACAATTCCCAAAGGCTCCTCTCAGCAGGAGGCCTGGGGGGGGGGCACATGGGACTCTGTGACCAGATCAGGCCTCTGGATACAGTTTTTTCCTAATTAGAAATAAAGAAATGCAAAACACTTAATAAGTAAAACATGTGTAGCTAATATGTCTTATTTGGTTAAATTATAAGGATTGACATTTTTTTAACTTAAATTTTTTTTTTTAAACAAAGAGGTAATGCATTCACAAGATACAAAATTCTTAAGTGGACACAGGAGAATGTGGTGAGAAGTGTCCCCCAGTCCCTTCCCCCCAACCACCCAGTTGCTCTCTCTAGAGGCAACCTCTGTCAGTAATTTCTTATATCCCTTTCTGCAAATATTCTATATGCACATATTTATTTTTTTAATTTGTTGTTTAACACAAATGGCAACAACTTTGCACACTCGATGTTTCCCGTTTATTTACTTTTAAAAAATTGGTAAGGTCCTACACAGTATTATATACAAGGCTGCTAGGAATAATCTATCATTTCTTAATGTGAGACTCTGTCAGCAAGACAAAGATCCTAAAAGTAGAATAGCTGGCTCAAAGGATATGGGGGTTTTAATTTTGAGAGACATTGCCCAAGGGAAGTGACTCTTACCTCTAAACTTTTATTTATATAATTAGTTGCTTGATCTTTCCAAATGAGTGAGGACCTGTTTGAGCATAGGAATTAATACTGTACGTTTTTTTTAAACACCATATAGTCCTTTTTAAAATTTTCTGTCAAAGAAACTAATTATGAGATTAATAATAAGGGTTAATTTCCAAAACCAAAATAAGCGAGTGCCACCAGTTAGTAAAATGCGTAGGAGAAAACTGAAGAGTAAAGGAGATGGAGTTTAAAATGAAGGAATGACCAATGCTGACTAAGAGCGGCTCCACGAGGGGTGAAGTTTCAGTGGTGTCCCGCAGGCTGTGAAGGGGGTTCTGGAATCGGCGGGACGCAGTGAAGGAGCGATCTTCATGGGAAATCCCGAGGTCTTCCATGTCTATGGTGACATCACTGCCAAGGTGAGAAGAGATGGGAAGTTGGAATGTGAAAGTGATCCAGTAACGATAACAATTTCTATTTCTCTCCAGTTGCCTGCATCAAAGAGCACTTCTGACCACTAGATTTCTTCCTCTGTCACATTAACCTTGTGAAAGGGGCAAAGATTTTTACCACCATTACCAAGTCACTCCAATCATTTCAACACCTTGTCCTAGCCTGCTTCAGCTCTCATAATAAAATGCCATACACTGGGTGGCTTAAAAAACAGACATTTATTTCTCATATTTCCAGAGGTGGGGAAGTCCAAGATCAAGGGGGTAAGAGCTCTCTTCCTGGCTTGCAGACAGCCACTGTCTTGCCATATCGTCACATGGCAGACTGAGTTAGCAAGATCCCTGGTGTCCTTTGTAAGGGCACCAATCCTAGCATGAGGGCCCCACCCCCATGGCTCCATCTGAAGATGATTATCCCTCAATGGTCGCATCTCCAAACACCAGTGCACTGGATGTTAGGGCTTCAACATTGGAATTTGAAGGGATACCATTCAAATAACTCAATTATTTTTCTCCAGCTTTTTCTTAGGAAAAATTTCCAACACATATAGAAAGAGTGAAGGAATACAATGAGCATCCATTTTATTACACATCCAAATGCAACAATTGTTACCATTTTTCTATGTTTGCTTTATTACCTTGTACACACACATGCACACATATTTGCAGAATCACTTGAAAATAGGTTTAGACATTATATGTATTGTTTCTGACCACTGAAGCATAAGAATAAGGACATTATCCTAAATAACCACAATATCATTATCACATCTAAAAGTCAACAGTGATGCCACAGTATCACCCATGGAGGTTTCCAAGCCCACAAGCTTTTTGTATTGCTTGAGAGATGAAGTTTAATCTCCCTCCCCTTGTGGGCTGGACGAAGTGGCTCACTTTCAGTGACCGGAGTATGTCAGAAGTGGTGGAATCTCACTTTGGAGATTGGGTTATGAAAGCACTGTGGCTTTTGTCTTAGATACACTCTCTTGAATTCTCTTGGGTCACTGCTTTTTGAGGGAAGCCAAGTGTTACATGGTGCGACACTCAGGTAGGCAGTTGCATGGCCTGGGAGCCCAGGAACTGAGGCCTATCATCTACCATGTGACTGAGACTGGAAGTGAATCCCCTTTAAGCTGAATCTTGAGAGGATAGTAGCCCTGGTCAACATTTTGATTATAGCCTCATGGGAGACCTTGAATCAGAAACATCCAGCTAAGTCAGTCCCAGATTTCTGGCCCGTAGAGCTGTGAGATAATAGATGTTTGTTGTGTTAAGCCATTAAGTCTGGGCTAATTTTTTACACAGCAATAGATAATAAACATCTAATATTAACTTTCAAATTTAATCATTTTCTACAAGGATGTCTTTTATAGCTGTTTTCTTCCCCAAATTGCAGTCCATTCTAGGTTCATCCATTGCATTTTTTGGATTATTTTTAGCCTTTTATAGTTTTTTTTTTAAAATAACATTAAAAAAAATGTTACTGACTTCTCATACAGAGTACAAAGCAGTGGCCTGATTGTTTCTTCAAGATGTTATTTAACTTGCTTACCTATACCCTATACAGGTAAAGTTGGATTTAGAGGCAGTATTGGATTCAGGTTGAACTTTTTTTGGCAGGAATATTTCAAAGATAAAGTTGTAAACTTCATATTGAATTGCATTAGAAGCAAATAGTGTTAGATTGTTCCATTGTTGCTGAAACTGTTTGATTGCCCATATCTTCAATGTAAAGGTACGTTTTATTTTATACAGCCAAGTAAGGTATCTGTGGGGTGAGAATTGGCAGGTTGTTTCTGTTCCCCCTTGAGTTACCTAATGATGTTTTCATCTATTGATTCTTGCCTGGATTAATTTATATCAGGGGTGGCAAAGTGGTAATATTCTAATTTCATCATTCCTTCTACTTATTAGTCAACATTCTTCCTAAAGAAAAGCTTTTTATTTTCTTTCTTTTTATTTTCAATTCTATGGACACATGGATTTTTATTTACTTACTATGAATAGTCAGTTATCCTTTTGGCTTTCCAAATCCTCCATGTTTGGCCAGGGGTCCCTGCAAGATGGTCTCTGTGACCTTATAACTTGACTCCTTTAGTCTTTCAATGCTTCCATGCTTTTCAACAGAAGATGATATCTTAGGCTCACTTACAATTTTCAGACCACAGAACTAAAATCAGCCTCTTCTCTATGGAGTTTTGGCTCCTTTTACTGGGGAATAGTGCTTAGCAACCAAGATTCAGGCTCTAGGTGTGCTCATTGCTACTGGGATGTCATTGCTTTTAGTGGATAGAGCTAGAAATACTTTTTTAGAAATGAATTAATGCTGGTACTTTTTGGAACTTTTTATTTGGTATTGGAGTATAGCTGATTAACAATACTGTGATAGTTTCAGATGAACAGTGAAAGGATTCAGTAATACATATGCATGTATCTGTTCTCCCTCAAAACCCCTCCCATCCACGCTGCCACATCACATTGAGGAAAGTTCTGTGTAATTCTCATATTTTTAATTAAAAGTAACATTTTAGAGTTTTCTTAATATCCTTTTACTTTATATTGGTAATCTTTTGGATCCTAATAATAATATTTACTCATTTGCTTTGTCTTAGAAATATAAACAAGAATATTTGAAAATGAACTTTCAGTATTTTACCTATAAGTAAACTTTCTTAGTGAAATTTAAGACTCTCAGAGTTTTTACTATAGTACTTTCCGTAATCATGAGTATAATAATCACAATTTACCAATCACTTGGAAATTTGGAAAACTCAGCAGTGGCCACAGGACTGGAGAAGGTCAGCTTTCATTCCAGTCCCAAAGAAGGGCAATGCCAAAGAAGGTTCAAACTACTGCACAATTGTACTCATTTCACATACTAGCAAAGTAATGCTCAAAATTCTCCAAGCTAGGCTTCAACATTATGTGAACTGAGAACTTCCAGATGTCCAAGCTGGATTTAGAAAAGGCAGAGGAACCAGAGATCAAATTGCCAANTTTTGAACTGTGGTGTTGGAGAAGACTCTTGAGAGTCCCTTGGACTGCAAGGAGATAAAACCAGTCAATCCTAAAGGAAATCAAACCTGAATATTTGTTGGAAGGACCGATGCTGACGCTGACGCTCCAGTACTTTGACCACCTGATGTGAAGAGCTGATTCATTAGAAAAGACCTGGATACTGGGAACAATTGAAGACAGGAGAAGGGGATGACAGAGGACAGGATGGTTGGATGGCCTCACCAACTCAATGAACATGAGTTTGAGCAAACTCTGGGAGATGGTGTTGGACAGGGAAGTCTGGCGTGCTGCAGTCCATGGGGTTGCAAAGAGTCGGACATGACTGAGTGACTGAACCACAATGCCAATCACTTGCCATTAGCATAGTCATTTTGCGAGGTGCTCAGAGAGGTTATGTACTTTGCTCAGTTTGCACAGCTATTAAGTGGCAAAGGATTTGAACCCTGGTCATTACGTTGTCTTACTTTTAACAGTAATCCCCTTTTTATATAGATTCACAGCTACTTACTACATACAAGTCTGGCGCCGAAAATTATTTGTGAGGGGAACAATAAAGATAAGTAGCTGTGAAAAGTTCCTCAGTGAATGAATGACGTTAATTTGATTATAGATAGTAGTTACTAACTTTTCAAGCCTAGAAAATTGTGAAGAATTGAGTTTGTCTATAAAATGCATTTTTGGAGATGAGCAGTAGGAAATGACAATATGTTGTAAGAGCACATTAAGAAGTATAGAATTTATTCCTCTTCTTATGTAAGTGTCTTTAGCCTTGTAAATGACCGATGATGCAATGTTGTTCAGACTTGTGAAACA